ACTGGGTAGGACCTGAGCCCCCAGTTCGAGCTGAGGAAGGGACTGTTCATCCTGTACTTGGTTCCTGCTCTCATCCTTGGCCAAACAGTCCGGTCTTTGGGTAGAAGGCAGGCTGTCAGCCTCCCGGAACATCTGAGTAAATTATAATCACTTCCTTATCCATGTTCTGGCTCAGCCCTACAAGGGACGTTTGTGTGTCGACCATGAATGGTTTCTTCTTATACAACACTGAACCGTGTAACTCCCAGCTGTGCAACTCCTGGCCACTAACCTGTCCCTGAGTTATGTCACTGATCGCAGGGCCTGCCAGAGGCTCACCAGGGTGCATGGACTGCCAGCCATTGGGGGTGCCAGCCATTGGGGGTGCCCTTGAAAGACATCCCACTGGGCAGTCAGGATGGGCCAGGCAGCCAGATGCTGAGAGGAGCTGCTGGGGGTGGTGCAGTGCCCCCTCCACACCGACCCCCACCCCGCTTCCCAAGTGCCAGGACCCACACCTACTCCCCACTCCCAGGCACCAAGAGAACCCTCTTTGTCTGTTGCAATCAGCCGGGGCTGGGGGTGGAGTTTTATAAGCAGAACTGTCAGTCTTCTAAATCCTCTACAAATACCACCTGCGGATGGAACCGGGGACAGAGAAGACAAAGGGGGCTTGTGTTTGTATTGCAGTCGAGGTCAGGCTGCAATGCCCTTCCTGTGAGTGTTGGTTCAGGCTCCTTCCTTCTAACTCACTGTTGGCAGCAGTGGGATGCACGAGGAAGGGGGAGAGGAGCTGCTGGGGGCGGTGCAGTGCCCCCTCCACACCTACCCCGACCCACTTCCCAAGTGCCAGGACCCACACCTACTGCCCCCTCCCAGGCACCAAGAGAACCCAGTTAGGGAGGCATCCCCTGGGAGTGAGTGGAGTGGTTTGGGCTGTCTACAGCTGGAAAACGTGGTGGGCTCTGGGAACACACACACACACACACACACACACACACACACACACATCTATACACACAGATACATATCTATACACACAGACACACACAGCCCAGGCAGGGGCATCTGGACGGAAGTGGGTCCTGGCGCAGGGCTACGTGGTGTGAAGGCCCTGGTCAGTTGGTCATTTGGGGAGAGGAGGGAGTTGAGATTTCTGAGGTGGTTCAGGCTCATGCAAGGGAGACTTGCCAAATAAAATGTTAGGCACAAATGCGAACAGCATTGAGGGTTTTGTTTTACTCTATCACTGCCCCCTCCTCACTGTTTTCTGGAATGGAGTTATTATGAAGAAGAGTCAGAGAATTCGTTACTAAAATAACACAGGGAAGTTATTAGTGAGAGGAAGTTATCTGACAATCAGAAAGTTCGGAAACCTCCACCTGGGCACAGAAGTGGAGTTCCTTAGGGTCTAGTGAGGCCCATCCAGGAGACAGCCCTGCCCACAAAGGCAGAGGGGCAGGGAGGATGAAGGGTGAGGGGGGTTGGGAGGGAGAGCAGAGGACAGAGCTCTGAAAGCAACTCCACGGGGAAAAGGAACGGCCATTTCAGAACATCCTGAGTGTGTGGCTAAGGGAGAGCAAGCCTTCTGGGTAGCAGGCTGGTCTCAGTCCTCAAGTTAACTCAGAGGCTGCCTGGGCTTGTCTGGCCCCTGGAGGGGCAGAGGCTGCAGAGTTGACAAGTCCACTGCCCACCCACCATCCTCTCCCTCTGTCTGGGGCTAACAATTCCAGTCAGTCCTGAGCTTGTGGCTTTGAATCTGGACAGGCCTGTGGCCCTCCTCAGTGAAATATTCCAGACAGCCACCTCCACGGAGGAGAAGGGATGGGGACACCGGTCAGCCCCATATGGGTAGCCCCCTCCCCCTCCCAGACCTCGTAGGCTAACTGGACTAAAAGCAGGACCACCTTGTCTCTCAGAGGCTGTTCCCAACATGTCTCTCCTCAAGAAAGTGCTGAACAGGCTCTGACAGGCCTGGCTTTGTCCCCGCTTCTAAGACACAGCCAGAGGGTGGGGGCCACCAGGTTGGTAACTGTTCCCAGGGCCCCTGTAACACCAGAAGAGACTGTAGGAGGTGGTGGATTCACTGCTGGCCGGAGCTGGGAGATGAAGTTCTAACATGGCCAGCTGGTGGCCATGTGACCATTCAAGGAGGCAAGGATTAAAAACCACGGGGCTTCAGGGACTGGGCTCTTAGGTTAGTTAAGTCATTACTGGGGAGACTAACATCGTCCAGCTTTTTGGACCCCTATGAGAGAATTAGCAATTACACCGGGACAGGAATTAGCCAAGACTGTCCCACGCAAGCAAAAACATGCAGTGACCATAACTGTGAACAAGGGCTGAAGAAGCGGCGATCAAACTGCCCAGAGCAGTGCTTCTCAAATTCTCTGTGGTGAAGAACTATTATTTCTCAATCTGCTATGGTTGATCTGCTCAGGAAGCCAGGCTGTCATAACAAATACCACAGGTTGGGCGGCGTAAACACCGGAATTTATTTTCTCACAGTTCTGGCGGCTGGAAGTCTGAGATCAAGGTGTCAGTGGGTTGATTTCTCCAAGGCCTCTCTCCTTGGTTTGCAGATGGCCGTCCTCTGCCAAGTCCTTACATAACCTTTCCTCTGTGCACAGCCCATGTCTGTATCCAAATTTCCTCTTCATAAAAGGACACCAGGCATATGAATGAGGGCCCACCCATATGACCTCATTTTTCCTTAATTTGGGGTGGAATCATGGAAGGAGCCCCTTGTGTTGTGCTAACAGTAGGCCAGAGAGCACCACTGTGGTGGGAAAAAAGAGGTAATAGGACCTTTTGTTTGTGGATAGTAAGGCCTGAGCTGACCTAAGACCCCTTGATATGCAAATCCAAGTGATGACATAAGTAAATTGTAATAGGGCCAAGGAGCAAGTCTAAAAGGAACTCTATCCTGGTACAGGAAATAAAATGAAACTAGACCACCAACTTACACCATACACAAGAATAAACTCAAAATGGATAAAAAGACTTAAATGTAAGTCATGAAACCATAAAAACCCTAGAAGAAAACATAGGCAGTAAAATCTCAGACATCTCATATAGCAGAATTTTTGCCAATACAACTCCTAGGGCAAGAGAAACAAAGGAAAATATAATCAAATGGGACTACATCAAACTGAAAAGCTCCTGCACATCAAAAGAAATCATCCTCAAAATAAAAAGGGAACCTACTGTAGGGGAGAACATATTTGGCAAGGATACATCTGATAAGTGTTAATTTCCAAAATGTATAAAGAATTCATACAATTCAACAAAAGGAAGACAAACAATCCAGTTAAAAAGTGGGCAAAGGACCTGAATAGACATTTCTCCAAAGAGGACATACAGATGGCCAAGAGACATATGAAAAATGCTCATAGTCACTAATCATCAGTGAGATGCAAATTAAAACTACAATAAAGTATCACCTCACACCTGCCAGAATGGCTACCATCAATGAATCAACAAACAACAAGAGCTGGTGAGGATGTGGAGAAAGGGCAAACCTAGCACACTGGTGGTGGGAATGCAGACTGGTGCAGACATTAGGGAAAATAGTATAGAGTTTCCTCAAAAAATTAAATATGGAACTGCCATTTGACCCAGTGATCCCACTTTTAAGAAACCTGAAACACCAATCAAAAGAATATATGCATCCCTATGTTCATAGTAGAGTTATTTACAATAGCTAAGATCTGCTATTCAGTAGATGAGTGAATAAAAAAGCTGTGGTACATTTACACAATAGAATACTATACAAGTGATGCTATAAGTAAATTACATCATTGATATAAGTGATGATATAAGTGAATATACAGCTGTAAAAAAGAAGGGTCTCTTACCCTTGCCACAAGATGGATGGACCTAGAGATTATTATGCTAATCAAAATAAGTCATTCAGAGAAAGACAATATCACATGATATCACTTATATGTGGAATCTAATGAACAAAATAGGTCCAGAGGCATGGATCCATGGGACAGATTTGATAGATCTCAGAGGGGAGGCAGGTGAGGGAGATGGGAAGAGATTAACCAAAGAACTTATATACATACTAGGGGCCCAGTGCACAAATTCTTACACCTTGAAAGGAACTGTGGGCTGAGAGGCTGTGGTGGGCCCAGGGGCATGTCTCGGCCCCTCCTGTGCACCCCCATCCAGCCCCTCCCACCAAGGCCCAGTCCCCTGTCTGCCAGCAGCCCTGCTCTTACCACCGTTCCCACGGCTGATAGCATTGGCCCCACTCACATCTGCTGACAGTGCGGAGCAATTGCGGCTGGTGCCAGCAGTGGGTGCAAGCGGGGCTGGCACCGTCAGTGGGTGCGAGTGGCAGCTGCTGCCCTGATTGCCTCTCAGGAGCAGGGAGAGGTGGAGAAGTCCTGAGGGGTGATTGGGGCCGGCAGCCGCCACTCACATCCACTGATGGTGCCGGCAGTGGGTGTGAGCTGGGCCAGCACTGGCAGGAGGTGCGAGCGCCAGGCAGGACCGCAGAGCATGGGAGCAAAGAATTTTCAGTAACCACCAGAGGCTTGCCCCGATGACAGCAACCAGCACCCCGCCTTGGTATGGTGCCCCCACTCACCTGCTCCACCATCCCACCACTGCTGACGCCCGCCATGTTCCACACATGCCCCTGATGGTCAGTGCACGTCATAGTGACCGGTTGTTCGGTTGTTTAGCTGTTCCGGTTGTTCTGCTGTTCAGTCTATTTGTATATTAGCCTTTTATTATATAGGGTATGCATAGCCCAGCCGTGGGCAAACTACGGCCGGTGGGCCGGATCCGGCCCGTTTGAAATGAATAAAACTAAAAAAAATAAGACCGTACCCTTTTATGTAATGATGTTTACTTTGAATTTATATTAGTTCACACAAACACTCCATCCATGCTTTTGTTCCGGCCCTCCGGTCCAGTTTAAGACCCATTGTGGCCCTCGAGTCAAAAAGTTTGCCCACCCCTGGCATAGCCCATGGACACAGACAAGAGTGTGGTGAAGGCCTGGAGTGGGGCAGGAGCTGGGTAGAGGGGGGCAAAAGGGGGGGAGTGGGAGACATCTGTAATACTGTCAACAATTTTTAAAAAAGAAAAAAACTGAAAATAAACCAATAAAAAATAAAAGGAACTCTATCTTACTCTTTTATGGGGTCCCCAGTGAAATGGCCACTATTTCCTGGTATGTGGATTAAACACAGTATCTCTTGGCTACACGCAGTGATACACAGGTTGGGTGACAAACAGTGCCATGACAGGTAAATATCAGTAGCATTTCCTGGAGTCATATATCATCACAGAACAGGAAATTTAAAAGACATTACTCATACATGCGAAACTTAAAGCAACTAAAATGATTAATGAAAAATCAACCAACAGAAAGAAAAAACAAACAAACAAGAAATGGGTGTAAAATCTACTGGTGAATAAAATGCAAAATAGTTGAATTTAAGTTGGAGACCAGTCATGAAAGTCAAATTTAGAGAGATTTGATATTATTAGTATTCCCTGATAAATTGGGATAGTTCCACTGCGTCCGTTAACAGGAAGTAAACCCCAAGTGATCCAGGGTCAACACCGTTAGGGTCTAAAGGAGCACTGCATGAGGCCAAAAGTGATAAAGGATTATAAATGTGTTAGGTCATCTGGAGACCAGGTGGGCTAAGCCCCCAAATGGCATCATCACCCAGGGATGGGGAGTCAGAGGTTTCATAGGGTTCTAGGAGGGCTTTTTCAGTGGGGAACTCTGGGTGGATACAGATCCTGGGAAAGTCCGGAGGGGAAAGCTAATGGTCTGAGCCATTGGAATGTGGTTGAAGTGAAAGGGAATGGTGGTTGTGAAGTGGTCTAAGGTAAGTTTCCAGGGGAGGGGCAATGGATTCAATTATTTGATCAGACCTAACATCCCAGCCTTTTTGTTCTATGGCTTCCTGCTGAGGGGAAATTCAAGATCAAAGGGAGATGGGTTTTGATTGCAGTTGGCTGGAACCCTGTAAAGATGCCTCCTGGTTGGCGTGAGGGGTTGCAGCAGCATGATTTCCCCGAGAGACTGGTTGGTGAAGACTCAAAAGTGAAGGTCCTGAAGGAAAGATGGAAAATGGTGCAGAATACATGGGCCAAAAATGAGGATGAGGAATAGGAATGTTAATGGTCCTATGAAGGGAAGTAACCAGGCATACGAATTTATATTCTTTACTAGTAGTTCCATGAATTTGATTGACGTTCTCTAATTTTTCTGTTAATTTTTGGGCAGCATCCCTGACTAGGCCAGACTGATTGACATAAAAACAACATTCTTCCTCCAGAAAGAGGCATAGACCCCCTTTCTCTGCAGTTAGGAGGTCTAGTCCTCTCGGATTTTGGAGGATGACAGCTGCTAATGAGTCTATCTGATCCTGAACTTAAACTAAACCTTTGGCAATGTTATCTAGGCTTTCTTGTAGGTCCTGAGACAGGATTTCAAAATACGATAGAGCAGTGGTTAAGCCGCCTATGCCAGTCCTGACACCTGCTGTGATGCTGAGGGTTACGAGGAGAGGGGTTATCTGGACTGCCCTTTTGTGTGGCCCTGATGGATTACGGGGACAGGTAAAGACTAATTATTTGGGGCTACACCTACACTGGGCGAGAGGAGAGGAGAGTACAGGTTCCTGTCCAGTCAGGAGGCAGATGTATGTATTTTCCCCACACAGGGAGAAAGATCCCTGATCATGGAGACAAGCTGAAAGGTATGGAGAGAAGAGGTGCACTAATAGGTATGAGGTTCCTTTTCCCGGTTCCGCACCCCAAACCAAGAGGGTAGTCGCCATGACACTTACCAATAAGAGGTAACTGATGAATGGTTGAGATTCTACTGCAGAGAAAGCGGGCGGGAATGCTAGAATGGGCTGTTATCCAATGGAAAATCAAAAGGGAAGAAAAGGAGCACTTGAAGCCTTGGGCCTGAATGGTTCGATAAGAACTAAAACATACTAGCTATAGGAGTGAACCATTGGCTTCCAGGGAGACCTGGTAGTCAACCGTTGGGACCAATGGTTGTTCGGTAGTTCTAGGTTAACTGTGGTGTTCCAGGGATGGGTTTCAATGTGGAAAGGTGGAGCCATGAGGTATGGCCCGACAGGTTAGCTGCAGTAGGGTTGTTAGGGGTACCTGATAAGAGCCTTGCCATTGGGGCTGTAAATTATTTATGGATGGTTTGCCTTTAGGAGGACCCAGTCCCCTGGCTGTAGAGGAGTAGGGGGATGTCTCCCATAAAAGGTCAAGGGAGGACCTGGCCAGCATGTTCTCTCAGGAACTGTCGGATGAGATTTTAAATGGGGACACAGTCTCCTCAAGGGGTCTCTGTGGAAGGGAAATTTCCTAGTAAGAAGGGTCTTCCATATATGAGTTCAAAGGGACTAAGAAGGGAGGGTGCTGGGGTGGGGGGTTGCCTGGATGTGCATAAGGGCTAGAGGTAGAGAGTAGTCCAGGGTTTGTTAGTTTTGAGATTTAATTCAGTTAAGTGAGACTTAAGGAATTCGCCTTTCCTACCTTGCCTGAAGACTGGGGCTGGCCGGTAGAGGGTGTGTAAGTTCACTGGATGTTCAGAGTAGAGGAGGCCTGTGGAGTTGAGATATGAAAGCAGGTTCATTATCTGATTGTAATGAGGTGGGGAGACCGAATCTGGGAAGGATATACTGAATGAGAGTTTGTGTGACCTTGGAGGACTTTTCAGACATGGGGAGTGCTTCTAGCCTGAGAAGGTATCTACCAAGGTTAAGAGATATTTGGTTCTTTTAATAGGGGGCATGTGAGTGAAGACAATTTGCCAGTCTTATCCAGGGATTTGGCCTCTTGCCTGATGAGTGGGCAGAGAAGGAGGACTAACCTGTCCTTGGGGAGATACTGAGAAACAAGTAGAACAGGTTTTAGTGATATCATGCAGGAGGGCGGCTAGGCTCGGATAGGTGATGAGGGGTTTTCGGAGTTGTAAAAGTGGTCTGAATCCTATATATAGGGAATTGCAAATAGCCCGTAAGATATCATGGGCCTGTCCCTGGGGAAGGCTATATTTTCTCCGAAATTTTAACCATGGATCTTCCTACATAGCCCCAAGAGCTAACAAGGACTGAAGTTCCTCTGGAGTGTATTTGGGTGTTATATGAGGTACAGCTAAGAGCTGGGGAGACAGAGGCTTCCTCTGAGTGCTGCTTTGTTATTTCCCTGTATTATGGGATCAATCCTGAGTCAGAGTCCTTTGCAGTGTATGGCTTTTAAGAAGGCTAGAAAAGGGGAGAGAAGTTCCTAAATACCAAGCAGGAAGACCTGTTGAGGCTTTCAATGATAATGTCTGTGGATGGTAATGATAATGATAAGGACTGTGAATGAGCAGTAGAAATACAGAAGTCTAGGCTCCAACCTAAGAACTTAAGCAATGGGAGAGCTGGGCGGGGCTGCTTTTGCTTACTAGGAGAGAAGGGGTCCCTTCCATGTCAGGGGCGATCAGGTCCTGACTCACTGGACAAACTTTTCTACAACCTTCACAAACCTTTCTACCCATTCAGAAATAACCAGCTTTAGCCCTAGCCATTTTGGCTCAGTGGATAGGGCATCAGCCTGTGGACTGAAGGGTCCCGGGTTCGATTCCAGTCAAGAGCACATGCCCGGGTTGCAGGGTTCGATCCCCAGTAGGTGGCATGCAGGAGGCAGCCAATCAATGATTCTATCTCATCATTGATGTTTCTCTCTCTCCCTCTCCCTTCCTCTCTGAAATCAATTTTAAAAATATATTTAAAAAATAAACAAATAAACACACACTTGCCCGGCCGATGTGGCTCAGTGGTTGAGTGTCGACCTATGAACCAGGAGGTCACGGTTCAATTCCCAGCCAGGGCACATGCCCAGGTTGTGAGCTCATTTGTTCCCCAGTGTGGGGCATGCAGGAGGCAACAGATCAATGATTCTCTCTCATCATTGATGTTTCTAAATCTCTCTCCCTCTCCCTTCCTCTTTGAAATCAATAAAAATATATTTTAAAAAAATATTTAGATGTTTATGATTTAACCCAGCAATGCTCCAAAGCTTTTAAGTTACCAAAGACTTTGGAAAATTATGTATGGGCCTATGGGGCTGGAGAAAAGGCAGGGGAAGCAGGGAGCCAGCCCTGCAGCAGTTTCCAGGCCTCCAGCTGCTTGGATTTAAGAATGCCACATTTTTCCTTAGAGATAACATGCTAAGCTTTGGGTGATAATGAGTTCTGCTTTTGATAACAGGACTGTTAAGTGTTTGCAGTTTTGTAGTAAAGAAAGTTGCTCTTGCCCGGCCAGTGGGGCTCAATGGTTGAGTGTTGACATGAATCAGAAGGTCACGGTTCGATTCCTGATCAGGGCACAAGCCTGGGTTTCAGACTCAGTCCCCAGGGGGGTGTGCAGGAGACAGCAGATCAATGATTCCCTTTCATCATTTTTGTTTCTGTCTCTCTCTCTCTCTCTCTCTCTCTCTCTCCTTTCATCTCTGAAATCAATAAAAATATATATTTTTTTTAAATGAGGTTGGCTTACCTGCCACCACAATTGTTACTGGAGGCTCTGTCCTGGTGATGTAAGTCTGTGGGGCCTTGTCAGGACCTGGGCAGCTTCAGTCTTGGGTGGCCAGTCCCAGGAGGTCTGGAAGCTCCAAACCGGATCCAGACGGCAGCCTTCCTGGACTGACTGAGGTTGACCTGGAGGGGTCAGACAACAGTCTGATTTCCAGGGGCCTTCCCTTCCACACTTGGGGCAGGGCCCAGGCAGGGGTCTCGGGTTTGGGCAGGACTTGGCCCAGTGTCCTTCCTTCTTGCATGTGAAGCATGGGCCCGGAGGAGGCTTAGCCCCTGGCTTACCCTTGGTTGGAGGACTGGCACTTTGTTTGGGGTTCGTGAGAGCGGTGGCCAGGAGCTGAAAGGCCTCCCTCTGGGCCTCAGCCTGGCCTGATCTCGCTTTTGTTTTTGGATTTGGGTCTCCTCGTCTCTATTATTAAAGACCTTAAAGGCCAGGTTAACGAGGTCTTTTTGAGGGGTTTACGGACCTGTATCTATTTTTCTAAGTTTACGGTATATGTCGGGGGCATATAAAATGGGTGTTCAGAAGAAGGGTTCCCTCTGGGACGTGGGGTCTAAGGTGGTAAATTTCTGTAAGGCCTCCATGATGTGGGAGAGGAAGAGAGCCCTGAGGATTTCATTAAGTTTGTCATAGTTGACCACCTTATGGGAAGTCCTTTTGAGTCCAGCAATGAGACAGGTGAGCCTGCACCCTGGAGAATTAACCAGGTCGTCCCATCTCCCATAAGTTCAGGGATCACATTAGCACCAACCAGGTTGGCCACAGCATCCTGTCTATAGAGGGCCTCAGCCTGGTGCTGAGCTGCTACCAGATGCACCCCTTCTCCTCTGGGTTAGAGAGGAGGACAGGATAACATAGATGTCCTGTCAGGTCCGGTCATCAGACTGGGTCAGGAACTCAAATTCCTCCATAAAAGTGGTCTGGTCGGTGGAAAAGGAAAAGGAGGTCACTTCCTGCTCCCTCCCTCAGGGGTACAATGGCCGCAGGAATAGAAGCGGCTGTTGAGGAAGGCGGTTTTTGGGTGGCCCAAGAGCGAGGGTTAAGTGGGGGGAAAGCTCTATTAGAGCTCGGGTTCTCAGGATTTGGGCTCTCAGGGGCCCTTGGAGAAGGTGGTTGCTGGTTAGATCTGGGTTTGGGGAATCTACTGCAGGTGAGGGAGGGGGCGCATAAGGGGGTGGAGGTCGGTGGTCTGCTGGGTCAGAAGTAGATTCAGAATCAGAAGCTAGGGGTATGATATTTTGTGTAAATCACACAATGTCAAAATTGAAAGGGCTGTTTCCAGGCCATTGAGATGCATTTTCTAGTTGATATTGTGGCCAAACAGTGTTGCAAAAGAAAATGAGGTGCTGGGGCCTGTTCTTTGCCCTGAGTTTAAGGTGGTCAGGATTTTTAAGGACACAGCCAAGAGGGGTCATTTTAGTGGGTATGGAGTGAGTGTTCCCCTTGATAAAGGGTGGCTCACAAGGTCTGTGAGTGACAGATCACAAGTCCAGAGGTGACTGTTTAAGGCAAGCGTCCCCACTGCTAAACAAATCACCATGAGAAACGAGGGGCGACCCTCCGGACTGGGCATCCCCAGTCCAGAAGGACCTGAAGCTGAACAGCTGAGGAGTCTTCTGGCCTAGCTCTAGGACTTTCACAATGAGAGTACTTTCAAGAAGTCAGTGAGAGTAAGTGGGCAGAAGGCTGGAGATAAGGGAAATTGTAGACCATCACTCACCTAGAGAAGATTGGCCCGTGTGGGATGGGGGGTCAGCAATGGAGGAGAGGTTCCTGATCTGTCAGGTGTCTTCCTTGGCTGGCTCGGGAGGGCTCATAAGGAGGGAGGCCTAATTGAGGCAGGTGGTCGAGTCACCCGAGTAGGATTCAGAGGTAAGGCCAGGATGAGTTGCTGCTGTCTACTGCTCTCTGAGTAACAAACTCAGGGTGACTGAAGTTGGGGCAATGACTCCCCTTGCCCGTGGAACCCTCCTAGATTTTTTAAAATATATTTTTATTGATTTCAGAGAGGAAGGGAGAGGGAGAGACAGAAACATCAATGATGAGAGAATCATTGATCGGCTGCCTCCTGCATGGCCCCTACTGGGGATCAAGCCTGCAACTCAGGCATGTGCCCTTGACCGGAATCGAACCTGGCACCCTTCAGTCTGCAGACCAATGCTCTACCCACTGAGCCAAAGGGCCTCCAAGAATTTTGGCACCAACTGTTAGGGTCACCAAAGGAAGAACTCACGAGGCCAAAGTGATACGGAATTATAAATGTATTAGGTCATCTGGAGACCATTTGAGCTGAGCCCCAAAATGGCATCAGCACCCAGGGATGGGGAGCCAGAGGTTTTTTTCATTTTTTACTTTTATTATGTTTTTTTTTTCTTGAAGGTATTTATTACCATCCAAACATATTTCCAACATGGAAAAGCATGATCCCTAATTTCCCTAAGATGTGTTTTCAAAGTCTCCTAGGGAACCCTTCTTACATAACCCTCTGAAGACTCCAGAGTTCTGTTTATCCTTCTCTGACAGAGGTGGGGGAAGTCTTGATCTCTGTACAGGTTAGAGTAATTCAGATTCCAGTTCCCTCTGCCAATTCCTAGGCTGACCTGCAAATTCCTTCTTACTATTTCCCTTAGGTCTCTGGGTCCTTTTTGTCTGAGGTGACGACATTCATGGCCTGCCAATGGCCCTCCTGTGAGGCCCATTGAGGTGAACTGTGGCTTCCCTGTCAAGGCCTTTTGGAGAGCTACAACTAACCACCAGTCTTTCTTTTCCCTCAAGCTGGTTTCCCAGGAGATTTAGCCCCTTTTCTTTGGTCTCAAGGGCCTCAGGAGTTCAAATTTCTACTGAATGCCCCAAGTGAGGAAGCAGTAACAAAAAGTCATATAGATTCCCAAAGTTTCTGGGAAAGACAAGACTAATTAAGGCATCCAAATCACAATGTGGCCAAATACAGTGGGGCCTTGACTTACGAGTTTAATTCGTTCCTTGACGGAGCTCATAACTCAAATTACTCGTATGTCAAATCAATTTTCACCGTTACAATGAATTGAAATGCCATTAATCCATTCTGGACACCCAAAAAACACCGCAATTGTTTTGTTAAATGTTTTTAAATAAGAAAAATGTATTTAAAAATAATGAATATTGTATAAAAAACACAATACTGAACAATAGAATGTAGTGCAATAAACTTGTTTTATTAAGTTTAATGTACAGCATTTACCTTGGAGATCAAACAACTTAAAGATGCTGATG